GAAGCTACAAGATTTGTTGGAGTCCACAACACCAGAGAGCAACGTGAGCTTAAGTATAACACACCTCCCTAGGCACTCTTAGTCCTAAGAGAGTTCGGAAGCAAAATTGATAGTAAAGAATTACAGCGGAAGTAAAAACACTTATGATATAAAATATTTTTTCAAAAGAAAGCCTACATTCAAAAAATCAATTTAATAAAAAGAATATCATCTATATATATTAGAAAATGCCAAAATATTCAAAGTTATAAAATAAGCCAAGCTAAACTCATTTATAATTAACTTAAAAGTTTTATACATAAAGCTAATTTACACAAAAATTATACGAGGCAAATTCTTCTTCAAAGCTTTTCAAAAAAACAAAAGCTGAGTCATGGTTTTGGTAACATATCGATCTGCCTCCCTATCGAAAACACGAGACCCTAGCTTGTACATACAACGAGCATGCGAGTCCCGTGCCAAAAGCTCCTAAACCGAGATGCTGCTACCTCGATCTACTGATCTGAAATGGGGGGGATTTTATGAGCTCACAGCCCAGTAAGTAATAAGTTTAAGCTATAAATTTGGGTTCTAAGACCTTTAGACCTATCCACACAAAGAGCATAAGACACAACGAAATCAAATCACATAATATTATAATTCTCAAATCATAAGCACAAATGTCTAAATTGAATTCATATACTAAAATCTTATGCTCACAAATATGATGTCACAAGCGCAATGCATAAAATCGAAAATCACACAATGCTATGGAGTCCACTAAGGTGTGATAGCAACACTGTACCGGAGCTAATCACAGTACTAACCCTACTGCGCAGAGGTCCACTGAATACCCCAAAGGGTCCACTAAATACCCCAAACTTTAAACTTAGGTCCACTTACTCCATAGTCACAAACACATACACATGTCAAACAAATTCATAATATGTCCAAAATAATATTAGGATTTCCCATTGAAAGAGATCAAAGCATAATGCGTGAACAGTAATCATGAATAGTATTTTTGAACAGTAATCATGAACAGTATTTTGTAATTTCCTTCTAATTCCTGCAGCAAAATCACACCCAAATCAACAATAGAAAGGACTAATTAACTCACTATCTTTGCCATATAAATCCCAATATTAAGGATATTTCTAATAAAATTTTAATACCAAAAAATCTTGTAAATCAAAGGATTAAAATCAAATCTCACTAATTTAAACTACCCAAAACTCTAACCCAAAATTCATAACTAAAACTTATACTTACCTAACAAAAGGACCTTAACCTTGGTTGGAGAAAGGAGGAAGAAAAGGATGTAGGAGGAAGAGGAAGGCGTGGGAAGCAAAATGAGGCCTTTGGGAGGCTTCTGGAGGCTTATCCAAGCTTCCACTGACAAGACAAAAAAACTTGGTTGGGAAAATGCCATGTGGTAAGTAAAATTGGGATAATTGAGTTATGGTCATTCAACTTCTACTTAATTCTACTTAAAGCCTCCAAACTTTAAATTCAATCAATTTAGTCCCTAAAACTATAAACTAAAGGACACTAATTCTTAAATTATTCACTAAGGTATGTGGGGTGTTACATTAAGTGCTACCAATGGCTCTGGCAGTCACCATTCTTCATCCTCTAAAACTTAATCTCTAAAAGCAACATTAGGTTATGGTAAGGATAGAAAGACTAGTTGTGGTGCTCCCGTGATAACAAGTACAAAGGAGAGTGTACCAATAATGGGTACGTGAGAGAATACACCCCTTGTTGGGAAATTAGATAACATTCAGAAGGCACCACAAGATTTGTAAGGCATATTCAAGTTCAAAGCTACGCTCCACCATGAGGGAGTTGATGGCGCGGCCACTATGAAAGGAATGAATAAATTGGAGGCAATTGTGAAACAATTTTAGATTCCTAGAATGGTGCTGGTTCAGGCTACCACCAAAAATGAAAAGGCCTACTCAGTGTCACGGACTGGATGGATACCAGTATATTTAGACTGTTTTGAAGCAGGTCTACGGTTTCCCTTACCAAGGCTAATTTTTGACGTGCTAGCAAAGTACGAGCTAAAACTAATGCAACTAACCCCAAACTTTGTAAAGTTCATCATAGGGTTCATATTGCTATGTGAAAGGTTGCAAATACTTGTGAAGACAATGGTATTCAAGTCACTCTTACAATGGCGGTTAAGTAGTAACCAAACGAGTTGGTATTACATTTTGGGGATGGATAAAATGATTCTTTTTACAAATGTAAAAAATAAAGTGTCAAGGTGGAAAAGGCAATACATTTTTTTCGCGATACACAAACAAAGAGAATGAATAATGAACTTGCGGCTTGTATATTTGAATGATGTTCTCCCCAGACTTACATGAATTATCCTACGCTGGCACCGTATGAAGTGGATTTAAAGAATAGGCTGTTAAATTATGTTTAGGAAAAGGGGTTGGTAGATTTGAAGGCCTTGGTTCCCCAAAGCAACTAGAGGTGTTTGGGTTTATGAATATCACAAACCTTTATGTCGAAGGTATATTTCTTTTATAAATTTGGAGTTTTAACTGGGTTGAGTCTTTTTGCATTTATTTGTGCATGAGAGATAAATAGTGTGTTGGAGAGACAGCATGAATGAGCACAAAGGTCAAGGAGTAGGTGTGTAGATGTCAGCTCGCACCAACAAACTCGGTTTGATGAACGACCAGCAAAACAACCCAGCAGCTCATCACACAGATAACGGAGTTCTAATTTGTTTGTGAAAGTTCACGCCGAGCACAGAGTTGAGCCCCCTCCCACGAACTCTCGAAGGCATGCACAAGAAAAAGTGGACATTGAGGATGATGTACCACCACTCATACAACGATGATCAAGTTCTAGGGCTCTTGTCATTGTAGCACGCTCATCTGATGCTCATTCTGCTCCTATAAGTGATGGCACTAAAGTTGGGCCATCGCATACATAAGTGGCTGCCCCTAGGATTTTATATCCTAAAGGGTTTCGCTATACCAAGGCAGATTGCTATATGGTGATGTTTTAAGGGATGCATAGCTTTATGCCCTCGATGGATTGATAGAGAGCAAAGGGCTATGTGCAGTAGAATGGAGATGGGGCTGCGATAATAAAGCTAATGGATGTAAGTATAACCATTGAATGTTTCTATGGATCACTCTATACATTTCTATTCAAAACTAACCGTATGAGTTGAATGACATGCTTTCAGCTACACAGTGGTGTTGTTTGAGTGTGAGCAAGCAACCCGCCAACAAATGCACTAGCTAGTTGAAAACTACAAACACCTTTCTTAAGAGAAGGCCAACCTGGAAAAGGAAATAAATTGTCTACAAAGCTTTGAGATGGCAAACAAAGTTGTTGTGGCTAAAAGCCGTGTAGACTAGCTGAGTAACTAGATAACCGAGCTTAGAGAAGAGTTGGAGAATGTTCAAGTAGAGAAGGAAAGTGGAATGTTAGCAGTTAAGTAGAATGTCGAACAGGCTGAAAAGCGGACGAGGAAGGCAGAGGCTAAAAAGGATAGTGCCTTGATTTAGCTTAATGCCTTAAAGTAGAGGGTTATTGAGGCTAACCAGAATCCGGGACATGATTAGAAAGCCATAAACCAAACCAGGAGGTCTCACTACCATTCTATAAGTATTGCCCACGCTCAGGGAGCAGAATGGTTCCTTGGCTCAGATGCTTTTCAAGATGTTGTGGCTATAGCATCAATGAATACCACAACTGAAATCTACAATGACATTCGTAGCAAGGTACTACGGCATTGGCCTAACTTCCCAATTGGTGAGCTGACATTCATGGAAGGTGAGGAAATAGAAGAGCAAGGGAAGAGTTTGATTCCTCCTTTTGACACAACAGTGCACCTCAAATGGGGTTTGGATAAGGAGAGGTCACCATTGTTTCCTCCAAGCATCGTTGAGGAAGGGGAGGATTTGAACTCTTTGCCCAGCTTCAACGATTGGGTTGCTAGGATGCTTGATGCTAAGGCTGGATCTTCTTCTACTCCATTTCCATCTCAACCCTTAACTATTCTAGCTCGTGATGCTCCTCCAGTAACAGTGCCTTCAGTAGACTTAACTGATGACTAGGAAAAATGAGCATCTGGTGCTAATTTTTGTGCTTTTGATAGCTGTAATGTTTTTGGTTATTTTAGCTCAATCTAGTGTAATTAGAAATTGCTATTTCAATTAAAATGAAATTAAACGACTTTATTTGCAAAATACAATCTTATTGATGTACAAATGTATGTTACAATTTATGTTAACAAGCCAATAATAAATGCTAAGTGTAATATTTTCTAAGATTATCTACATTCCATGTGAATGGTAGTAGATGACCTTGTGAATCTTCTAACAAATATGTTATAGGTCGTTTAACAGCCACTACCTTATAAGGGCCTTCCCAATTAGGAGCGAGCTTGCCCATATATGAATAAGCATTAGTGAGCCCAACTTTATGTAGAACTAGGTCACCTACTTGGAATTGACAAGTGCAAACCCTCTTATTGTAAAATTTAGCCACGTGATTTTGACAAGCCATGTTCCTTGTCCAAGCAGCTTTTCTTGCCTCCTCTATGAGGTCAATATTTTCTTGGAATTGCTGCTCGTTAACGAACTCATTAAACTATGCAGCTCTCCAACTCGACAAGCCTATTTCAATGAGGATAACTACTTTAGTTCCATAGGAAAGGGAGAACAGTGTTTCTCCCTTGGTCGAACTAGGTGTGGTTCAGCATGACCATAGGACTTTATTCAGCTCATCAACCTAATTCATCTGAATAGCTATAATGCATGTTTTGAGGCCGCACAAAACAATCTTATTGGCGAACTTTGCTTGGCCGTTTGTTTGTGGTGTGTACACATAGATGTTAGAACGAGCTCAATCCCATTATCCTCACAAAATGACTTGAGGATTGTAGTTCAAAATTCAGGGCCATTATCAACAATGATGCGTCAAGGGATGCCATACCTGTACATTGACAGGTGGCCTAAGTGATAAGGTAAATATTTGCATATGGGGTGTGTATGATTTAATTCTATCATTATACCTGTATAATACCGAACTAAATAAGAACTCTTCCACTTTTCTTTTCTTTTTTTGCCGTGGATAATAGCTTGGCAACCTCCTTTGCTTTTAGTGAAGCAGTCCACAGCAACAATAAGATGTGTGCAACCTCATTTTCCTTTAACCAAAAGACTGAGTAGGTCCACTCTCCATCAGGCAAAAGGCCAAGGTGAAGTGAGAGATGATAGCATTTCTCTTGAGAGTCGAGGAGAATAGTTTTAAATTGCTATGGAAGCATGGATATACTTATGTATTTGAATCAGAGCAAGCCGATTTAAATAGTATGTGAATATCATTGGAGTTGAGTTGGCAAGATGGGCACTTTCAGACATAATCCTAAGCATCCTGTATCATCGACGGCCAGTAATAGCCTTGCCTAAGGAGTTTCTAAGCCAAAGTTTTTCCACGAACATGGGTGCCACATATTCCCTCGTGCACTTCTATAACAACATATTCAGCTTCACAAGGAGTAAGGCATCGTAACAAGGGCATGGATATTACTCGATTATATAATTGACCCTTAATTAAGGTGAAACACGTTGTCCTACGATTAACTAGCTGAGCCTCGAACACTTAGTCAAGTAGGGTGCCATAATGCAAATAATTAATTGACGGAGTAGTCCAGCTTGGCGTTAGGGGTCAGTGCTTAATATTTGGTAATCGGGCAGAGGGTCAACATAGCTTAATGCGTCCAATACCTCGACGTATGTTGTTCATCGAGGAGATATTTCTTGTGACTTCATTAGCTCATCGGTTATCTACCCATGGTATTTCATCGATTTGAGTGACCATAGAACAATAATGAGCTAGCTGTGGACCTTTGATATCATAGTTGCCATTAACCTAGTTCATTTTGAGTTGAGAATCACTAAAGATCCTTATATCCTACACTTTGAGTTTAGAAGCTAATTTCAATGCTAAATTACAATGGGTTTTTAGTTTATATTTTAATAGAGTTAATAGAGGAGATAAGATAGAGGTTAATTTAAATCTTTAATTTTAATTTTAATTTAATATTTTTAAATTCATAAATACTAAATTAATAGAGTTTTGTTGTTACATTAAATAAATAAAAATTAACAACCATTTCTTATAAACCGAAATGGCATGCCCCCATTGTCACTTGGTAATTCGATGTTTAATTTTTATTAATTCTTTTAATTTGGCTGGAATATTTGATATTGTATATATATATATATTCTTTTTAACAACAAAAATGAATTTATTTTATTACTAGGACCGAGGAGTACAAGGGATGTTTTAACCCTTACCCATTACATGTTCAACTCTCCAACCACTGAATCATATAACAATTTCATTTTTGACATATTCTGCACCCCTGATGTATTGGAGATTTGCCAACTATGATACTTCTCCTACACTGATGAATTAGGTTTGCTCCTTTGTTTCATATACTCTTTTGGCTTTAATAATATTGCATATATCTATTTATTTGATATTATGTGAAAATTATATAATTTATTGTAAATTTCTATTTGTTCTTAAAAAATCCTTAACTAGCCTGTCATGTAATTAGACTGAGTTTAGGGCATATCACTTATTTTGTCAGAAAAAAAAAAAAACAAGAAAACGAAATTTTATTAATTGATGACACTTTCCTTTCTAATGATCAACCTCGAAATAAAATAGCTGAAAAAACACTTATCTGTGAATTATTCTGCAACTCAGCTAATATTGCAAAATAGAGGATGGATGTTAGCAGTCAGTAAGCATATCTGACAAAGAAGTAGTGTCCTTTCCTGTGCCCAGCACCACCTGCACCCCATTTCTGTGCTTACATCGTCTATGCTACACCTTTAATTTAGTGGGTGCAGATTCCTTTCTTTTTTCTTTAATTAATTTTCTTTATCTAATAACATATGGATTCTCCTACAAGATTTATATTTCCCACCCTTATTAGATGTACTACATACCAAAAAAGTAGAGGATTGATTAAACACACATTTCACATAGATTCATATATGAAACATATATTAGCAGAGAATCATATTTACGCCTTAAGAAAGGCTGTTAAGATGTCTGCATACATTACACCCATTTATAACAACATAAAATAGCATAGAAGCAGCAGTTATTTAATCGTTACTTGCTTTAAGGCAAGCCAGCTGCTAAACATAGAAACCCATTTTATAAGGCTTGAAATTTAAAATTTTACACTGCCCGCTTTCGTAGATCCCAACGTCAGCCAGAAGAGCTAGCGCTACCGCCTGTAACACTGCCGCTTATGTTTGTGTTTTTGCCGCCTTCGCCCTTCTGACCGTTGTTATTTTGGATGCCCTGATTACTGTTGTTGTCGCGTCCTTCATGCTGTTGTTTATATAGAAGAAATTAAAACATGGAAGAAAGAGAAGAGAAAACTAGAAGACTAGTATACTAAGATTTTAGTGAATGATATAAAATTGTTATATAAAGAGTCTTTATATAGAAATTTAGATAATTTACTGATCAAAAAACGCTAATTAAATTTACCATAATAACAATAATATCTAATATGAAATTTAGTACTCATAATTATTTCTTTATATCTCTTAAATATCTCTCGTAGTTTATTTTGGATTTCCATGATCACCTAAAAAACAACTTTGTTTGTTCTTTCCCTCTCCTCCCCTTCTTCTTCCTTCTCTTCCTTGCTATAATCTGGGTTCTGCTCGGGTTTTGCATCTGCATCTGGGTTCTTGCAGAACCCAAATCAGACTCTGCAGTTCTGCATCTGGGTTTTGCAAGAACCCAGATCGGCTTCTAATTCTTGCTGGAGTTTTTCCTCGACGAAGGAGTGCGGCTCGATCAAGTGGTCTGGTGCTGGAATTGGGAATTGATTTTTGCCTTAGGTAACCTTCTGAAAAGAGGAGTTTTTGGAGAGGTAGCGAGGGATATGATCAGAGCTAATCTTGCGGGTGGGATCCCTCCCATCAGATGAGTGTTTGGTTTGGGATGGCTGGCAATTGTCATGCAAATGATTAGGATGAGAATGGAGGTTAGGAGGAAGATTGATCTGGTGAGGATGGAGACTAATTAACGAAGTGTGGGAGTTAACGGAAGGTAACGGAAAAAAGAGTATGCAATGGGAGTGTGGTATCGTAGAGTGTGCGCCAATCATGGTCCCTTTTCAGAAATGTTGTTTGGGGCAAGTCTTTGATCTAATCCAAACTAAGTTCTTCTGTTGGATATATTAAAGGTAAATCAGATAAATCAGGCTTCAGCTTCAGTGATTGCTGCATGTTAAATTTCCTCATCTTTGTTTGGCTGATGATATTTTCTCGCCCCCTACTATCTGACTGATGCAGAAATATGTTAGCTTTGTAAACTTCTGTAAATTGTACGGATTGGAGCAGTCCTAATGCTCCCTTAATATAACTTTGCTTACCAAGAAAAATGAACAAAGCAAATAAAAAAAATGAAGCAAAAAAGACTAAATTGAAGCAGGAATGCAATAGTAAGCTTACATTCCGCATTCCATTGCTTACATGTTCCGATCCAGAACCTTGGCCAGAGTTCTGGCTTCCAGAACCAGTGCCAGAGTTAGTGGCTCCACTGTTGTTGATACCATAGCTCCCAGCCAGAACGCCACTGCCATTGCCCATTGCTTTCTCTTTGATGAATATTTGCTATCAACTCAGGTCTTTATATAGACATTGGAGGAGAACATAAGCCGCTGAAAAATGAGGGTTAATAGAACTAAGCACCTGATTCCTGGACCACTATTTAAATAGACATGGGTTTTTGTAACTTTTGTTTTTAGAACATAAATTAAAATATATTTAATATATTTTTTAGTTATTAAATTATATAAAAAAAATTTTGATTTTAATTTTAATAATTAAAAAATATGTATATTAAAAGTACATATTAAAAAAATTCTCAATAGAGACATGGATGTACTAAAAATATATACGTAGGGACATGGAATTATGATTTCTTTACTGCCTGGGTTTTAATTTAACTAGGACTTAAATGATCCACCTCATAGAAACCCGAAAGCCAAAAATTAACAATTGAACAATTAGGACATTATTAGTAGTTATTCAGTTAAGTTAAACTATTT